CTTTTTGATATTATGCTTTAAGGTTTCTGTCTGGATTCCTCCATGTTATTTTTGTAGCATGTTCCAGTGAGAGTTTCCTGTCTGCGTTTAGAAGGTATCTTTTTATTATCAGCACCTGTGTCTCAATTCCACCACGTGTCTCCACTTCCCTATTCACCAGAACAGTCTGTCTACACTCAGTGGATTTTATACTTTCGACTCTGCATTCAACCACAAGACAATAAATAATGCTCTTGCTTAACCTTTTCACATTCTTAAGTAATCTTCATCACTTTTAGGTCCCGTTACACTTACAGACACAACAGAAGTTAAAAAAAATAAAAATACAAAAGAAGAAGAAAAGAAAAAACAGTTGTCATTTTTGCTGATGTCTGTGTGCACCTCAAGGAAGAAAGGCTCATATATTTCCTGCCAGGTGTGTTACAGTCTTTTGCAGGGCCCTGATTAAAACACATTTATTAAACCTTGGTGAAATCTTGGTGACTGTGGAGGTAGCGTCCACGATTCCAAAAGCCGTCAGTCAAGTTTATTTGGATCATGCGCACTGAAAGTGTTTTCGGAAACACCATGAAGGAAGAGAGGGAATGATTTGGATGGTGTTGTGGAGGAACAAGTGGAACACCAGATAAAAAAAATAGACACCAACTATAAACAAAGGAGAAGTAAGGCAGTGCAGCTAACAAGCAGAAACCAGAGACAACGTATGGATGATGACACTAATGCCACAATTGTAAAGCAAATGCTGAGGTAATTAATTACTTAATTAATTATCATTGAGATAATCCTTTGAGATTCTCAAAACTGAAAAATGTTTAGAAGAAAGATGTAAAAAAAGAAATACAGTTCCAGATATCGCATCCACATCAGTATTAGAAAACATATTTCTAAAAATTGGAGTTTTATGTCATCCTCACGTCAGTTTACCTTAAGGCAGACATTGAAGAATCAGGAAAGCTGAATTAAGGGCTAAGAGTATATGAAAGCGCCACAGTAACATCAGATGGTTTAAATTCTTTTAGACATCCTGCATGTTAGTAATAAATTCAACACAAGGAATCAGTGTAAGCAAAATGTAAAAGAAACCTAGCATCAAATACGAAGCATGAGCACTGTAATCATTTTGAACCTTGGAGTCATTTTTGACCAGGATATGTCCTTCAACGCACATATTAAACAAATATGTAAGACTGCGTTCTTCCATTTGCGCAACATCTCTAAA